AGGAGGGCCGTCCCCCCCCCCACCGAGGGGCCCTTCCGAGGAGGGCCGTCCTCCCCCCACCGTCCCGGAGCCAGAAGAGCGGAGGGTGAGACGGGGGGGGAAGGGGGGGCTTCTCCTAGAGATGTAAAATCTCTTGAAATTTTGAACCCGGAATTTTTCTAAAAATCGAAAAAAATGCTACATTCGCACTTCTTTTTTCTTTTCCAGATTGAAAGTCATTCTGTCACTTTAGGAACATAACATATGACTATGGGCATTTTTCCTTGGCATGAAATGATCACAGCTAGCCTATTAAAAATATAGTGTATCCAAACGATTATTACAAACAGAATACCCTCCCACATGCAAAAACAAAACCTGAAACCTTTTTCTTTTCTTGTGACAACAGCACCTCCTAAAGGCGGAAATGCATCTTGTTCTCGCATTGAAGAGTTCAGTTTGTAACCTAGGACTTGTTTGTCCTCAGTACACAGAAATTAGATCAATCTGATGCCATACATATTTTTTAGAAATGATCTGGAAAATATTTGAACACCTTGACCCAAAATATTTCATTCATCATGTTAACATAAAACGTTCCATAATCAATTCTTTTTTTTGGAAAAAACCCCAAAGGCTTTTTTGGAGGGGAAATAGTTTTTTTCCAAATTTTTCCAGTTTTTTTCCAGGCCTTTACATTTCTAGCTTCTACATGTGCGCTAGTGAGCGCGCGATCTCTTCACTGCGCTAAGTTAGTTAGGAACACTGGTAGGCCAATATGCGGCGGTGCCAGATTTCAGTGGGGGGTGCACATGCGACCTACACGCCTCCCAGTCCGAAGATAGAACAGAAGCAAAGGGGTGGGGCAGACCAGCTCCCTGGGTTTCCCAGGGCTGGCAGCCCCCTTGTCCAGACCAGTGAGCATATCAGGCTGCTGATGAAAGGTTGCTTTCACTCATGCTAAGTAATGCAGTTTCAATCCACTTCAGCAACCATTTGTAAGTGGATCCTGCCATTTCAGCACAGTAAACTCCAGTTGCAAAATGCATTATTTAGTGTATGTGAAAGTACCCTTAAGTGTGTGGTGCTCCCTGTTACAAGGAAGGCTTTGTGTGTTGTGCTCCTGCCCGTTCACATTCACGTTTTGCTGGGAAGAGGCTCAGAAGAGCTCATGCTTCCCTTAGCAACTGCTGTTACCTCCTCAGTGAGGCTCGGTTTCCACTTTTACAAACATAAACCAATTTTGGCATCTTTCCATTGATTTAGCGCAGAATTGGTCACCTTTCTTTTTTGCCAGCTGGGCTTTCAGTGTAATATAAAAAGAAAATCTATGTATTTGTCTTTGAGAGAAAGCAAGGGTGGCACAAAGGGAATACATCCCATAGATGCTGATGTTCTAGTTGCCTCTCCTAGATCGCCAACTCTCTTCTACGCCTCTGGAGATTCTGCTGTTCCTCAATGGCTGGTATTATGCCACATATTTCTTGCTGGAGATCTTCATATTTGTCTATAAGGGTGAGTTTTTCTTGGCTACAATTCCAGACTAATGGGAAGGGAGTTTAAGGGAATCTGTCTCCCTGCTCTGCAGATGTCTCCTAAAGAAAATAAAAAGCGATGTATTTTCTGTCTTACTCCACCCCTAGCTTTATAGAGCCATCATTACATTGATTTAACACATGGGCTCTCTTTTTTAAAAGAATGCAGTAGGCAGAGGTGGACAGCTGGGTCTTTTTCTCTTGTTGCATGTGACCATTTATGTGCCTCCCCCCCCCAGGACTGCTGTTGCCATATCCCTCTGCAAATCTGGCCTTGGACCTGGTTATGCTTTTCCTCTACCTTGGAATTGAAGTTGCCCGGATATTCTTTGGTAAATGTCAAATAATCAGATGTCCCTGGGAGTGGTGTATTAAGCTATTGCTGAAGTGTGAACACCTGTGGTGGCGTTTTAGCTGACACATTTCCCATTTAATGCTCACCAAGCAATCATCGCATACATTCTGCCTCCCACCATTAGTATATTTTTGGATGTCCTAGTATTGGTATCAAGCAGAGTAGAAAAATGATTGCTGCTTCTTCATTCCAGTAAGAAGGAGGGAGGCTACAGAAAAAAGAGCCATGAAATCACAAACAAATCTGTAGTCAAAGCACGCTAAATAAATGCAACCATAATTATCTAGAAAGAAAAGTCATTAATGATGCCAAACATATATATATATTATTATAGAATCACAAACATAATAATGAACGATTATCCAAAAATGGATGTTATGAAACCACAAGAAGTCACAGCATATCTCAAAAGCAGCAGACTTTCTTCATAAATAGAACAAGCAAATAGAAATTAGAAATAAAATTCAGTTGAATCAGTTCACCTGTTGTTCCACAAAAGAAATCTGTGTATTTAATTGAATGTGCGTGTAAAAGTTTGTATGTTGGTTCTAGTATGTGTGCCATTAGGGTACGCATGGCTGAACATAAATCTAGAATTCACTGTAAAAATTTAGATGCGCCCTTGACACAACATTTTATGAATAAATGATGATTTTCAATTTATTATTTTGGAAAATCTAGAGCCACATAGATATGCTTGGGTGGAAACACACAAAATGCTATTGCAAAAAGAAGCCCAATGGATATACAAGTTAGGAACACTCTTTTACTCTTTCCTGGGGGTTTGAATTCTTCTTTACATTTGTCATCATTCATTTAAAATAAGTATATTCAATTGTTCTTCCCACCTTTCCCTATGTGTTATTTATTTTTTAATGGTTGTTAAGTTTGGATATGGTATTCTGTTGCTTTAAGTACATGGAAGGAAACCCAGCTGCGTGGAATCAGTTTGCTTTGACATTGGTGGAATGTACTTGAGTTGTGACAAACATAGATTGTAGGAGCAGCAATTCCAACTTGCAAAGGGATGTGGAGCTCTGCCCAACTGGGATATTCTGACCGGGACCTCGCTTTATACACGTTGTGTTCATTGTACATTAGTGTGACCTGCACTTGTTATGGTTCATATGGCATTTTACTCTAGGTTAGAATTTTTCTTGGTATTGCTCATGAATGGTTTTTTGCCAAAGACCTGATTTACCTGACGAAGGAATAGATCTCAAATGCAGATTATATGGAACGGCATAGTTTGAACTTGGTATGGATCTTGTTTACTACAAGCCATGGTGTATAGAGGTTTGGACTTCAAGGACATGTGATATTTATATAAACATTTTTTTCTTTGTGTGCTTCTTCTATTTATGAAGGAAGTCTGCTGTTGAGATATGCTGTGACTTCTTCTGGGTTTGCGTTCCATAACATCCACTTTTGGATAATCGTTCTTTATTAAGAACCAGTTTGGTGTAGTGGCTAAGTGCATGGTTTGATTCCCCACTCCTCCACTTGCACCTGGCTGGCTGACCTTGGGCAAGCTGTAGTTCTGACAAGAGCTGTTCTTGAAAAAGAGCCGTTTCTGTCAGAGGTTTCTCAGCCCCACCTACCTCACAGGGTGTCTGTTGTGTGGAGGGGAAGGGGAAAGGAGTTTGTAAGGCGCTCTGAGATACCTTTGAGTAGTGAAGGGTGGGGTATAAATCCAATCTCTTCTTCTTCTTCATTACGTTTGTGATTCTACAATTATATATTTGAGTTTGGCATCTTTATTAACTTTGCTTTTTAGATAATTATGGATGCATTTATTTAGCGTGCTTTGACTACAGATTTGTGATTTCATTGGCTTCTTCATTCCAGGCTTTGCTATTCCTAAGGTTTTTAAATGAATTGGAAGAGATGCACCCAGATGAAATAGAACCGAATGGGTAGCCAGCCACCTATTAAAAAGGCTTTTTATTGTAGTTCCTGATTCACGTACTGTCATGATACACAGTCTAGCTACCTCTCCTGATCTGAGAAATGGTTAGAATTGCAGTATGAGAAGTTGCAAAATTAAATTACCTGCTGTATTAGATACGAACGGCGTCCTGAAAAGCAGACTTCATGTCCTGTCTCCAAACACTGGGGCTTGTTTGCTGTGTATGCTAAAGAAGGCCCAACTGCTTGACTGATTATGCTCTTTCTGACAGGGTCAAAAGGGAACCTGTGTCAGCGGAAAGTGCCGCTCTCTATCAGCTTGGCTCTAACCTTTCCAGCAGCTGTGATGGCAGCCTACTATCTTCTGTTGCAGACCTATGCTCTGCGTCTGGAGGCCATCCTCAACGCTATCCTCCTTCTCTTCTATGCCGTTGAGCTGTTTCTAGGCGTTCTTACCCTGACTTCCTTCTCCAGGTACTTCCCTTTTCTTTCTGCAGTATTTTAGGAAGTGAATTTTTGTAAGTGAATTCTTTTTTCCCCCTCTAAAGGCATTACTATTGGCTTGCTTTCTAATCTGAAAAGCATGAAGGCTATTGGTATTTTTCACACTTGAAATCTGGGAGAGGCAGTGTATTGCCTTGAAAGGGCTAAGGTGCATGTGTTTGGAAAGGTAGAATAAGTAAAGAAAACGGTGGAGGGGTGAGATATTTAGTATGTGGGGAAAAGGGGAAAATATCTTGAGGGGTTAGGCAATTTAAGGGGGCCAAGACAGTGCAAGAAGGGAGGAAAGTACTGATATCAGTCAAAAATAGTCTGCCTCCTACACGGTAGAGGGTAGTAGACAACTTCTGCAAAATCACTGTGTACCTGTCTGCCACTATGTGACTTATATTTGTGACTGTCAAGAGTTAAACATAGTATATACCAGGTTTTTGAAGAGCAGATTAGTCTGCCATTTAAAGAACTACTTCAGAAAATAGGAGATACAGGAAACCTGCCGAACTCTTGGTACCAAACATTGATTACATTAATCCATAAGCCAGACACTGTGGGAAATGATTTTAAAAATTATAGGCCAATATCTCTACTAAATGTGGATTATAAAATATTTGCGAGTATTTTAGTGGCCAGACTGAAAAATGTTTTAGTGAAGACAATACATACAGATCAGGCAGGATTTTTACCCAGGTGACAAATTAAGAATAATATGTGGACAATTATAAACGTGGTTGAATATTTTGAAGTTCACCCGGAGAAACAACTGGCATTAATGTTCCTGGATGCAGAAAAAGCTTTCGACAACCTATCTTGGAACTTTTTACTGCAAAAACTATGTGTGATTGTGGCCAAAAATTCTTAACAATGATCACAGCAATATATAAGACACAATATGCAAGGGTGGTGGTAAATGGTGATCTTTCGCAAAATATTGAGATACAAAAGGGTGTAAGACAGGGTTGTCCACTATCGCCATTATTATACATATTTGCTTTGGAATCTTTGAGCTAGTCAGTAAGATGATGTAGAGATACAAGGGCTAAAAACAAGAGGAGAAGAATTTAAATTATTGGCCTATATGCGGATGATCTGGTTTTCATTTTGGAATCCCCGATAACATCTTTACCACCCTTGCTACAATTAATGTATGAATATGGTGTGGTAGCTGGGCTGAAAATTAACACTAAAAAGACAAAAATAATAACTAAAAACTGCTCCTCAAAGGTAAATGAGCAGATTTCAGGGATGGAAGTAGTAAAAAAACCTAAATATCTTGGAATAATATTGTCTAATAGAAATAGTTTGTTAATAGAGGACAATTACAATAAACTACTTGAAGAATTAAAGATTTTTTTTAAGATGGAAAGATCTACAATTGTCCCTGTTAGGGAGAATAGCGACCATAAAAATGAATGTTCTCCCGAGATTCCTGTTTCTGGCGCAAAATATTCTGATATTGAAAAAAACAGAAAATTTTTATAGAATTGGATAAAATAACCAAATAATTCATTTGGTACCCAAAAAGAGCTAGAATAAAATGCAAGCAGCCACATTGGACTGGATAAAAGAATGGTTAACTTTGGAAAATGTAAGCATTTTGAATCTAGAAGGTCATGATTTAAACATGGGTTGGCATGCATATATATGGTACAGGAAGGATAAAATACACTCAAACGTTAAGCAACATATGATTAGGGGCGCCCTACTGAAAATATGGAATGAGATAAAAGATACTACATAAAAAACCCAGGTGGGTGTCCCCCTTAGCAGCTTTTATTAAACCTTCCCTTACCGGTAAACACCATAGGGAAAGCTATGATGTCCTACTAGATGAAGACAATAAGTTGAAACTGAAAGAGGTTTTAGCCAACTTGTATAATATAAAATTTTCCTGGTGGGAAACTGCAGATGCAATCTAGATTTGATAAAAATGCACAAATAGGTTTTTCTGAAACCAAAACACAGTTAGACATGATCTGGCTTTCGACAAGTGATAAAAAGATGCAGAAATTATATAAATTTTTGCCGGATGAATATATGCAGGATGAAGTGATTAAGACTACTATGATATCATGGATGAGAGATATCGGTCACTCTGTTGACATAGACAAATGGTTAAAAATTTGGAAAACTGTTAGATACATGAGGTCTACAAATTATAAAGAAAACATTCTTAAGGTGTTTCACAGATGGTATTGGACACCGGATAGAATAGCCAAATGTCACAAAAATGTTCCTAATATTTGCTGGAAATGTAGTGGTAATGTGGCTGGCGTTGTGGTATTCAAAAATATTGGTCCAAGATACAAAAAAATGCTATCTGAGATGATGGAAACAAATATAACTTTAACACTTGAAATGGCTCTGTTAAACATAATTCCTGATAAATTTGAACAAAGAGATGTGTATTTATTGATATATGTATTAACTACTGCGAGAATGCTCTTAGCCAAATACTGGAAAGTAGAAATGACCCCGTCAAGAGAAGAGATAAGGGTTAAGCTTTTAGAGTTGATACAAATAGATAAACTAAATTTCATACTACAAGGGAAAGACGATTGTATCCATAGCAGTAGATGGGCTAGAGTATATAAATGGATAAAGGAAACAGTAGAAAATTAGACTCAAATGTATATATGGATTTTTACATGTAATGTATTATATTATAAAACCATAAATAAAACTTAAAAAAAAGAGAAACATAGGAGTGGTAGTGAGATCTAACTTAGGTTAAAGAAGCAGAGCTGTTTTGTAGTGTTATTGCTAATATTCTTGCCTTATGCTCATTATTTTCTTTAGTTTGGACTCCTACTGAAATGGTACCCTTCTTGGATGGTATTGCATGGAATCATGTGCTCTTCGTGTAAGAAAGAGGCTGCATGAGCCTCCCATTGTCATGGGTGTCTGTGGCTCAATATCATTTCCTTGAAAATGCTGGAAGACAATACAGCCACTGTTCTGTTCCAGCTAGGAGACCACCAGGACAGTGTTCAAGAAATCGCCGGAACCATTACTAGCCACAGACCCAGTATCACCTTTACATCCCAGCTGAAGGATAACAAGTTCCATTCAGATTTTACAATGTGGAAATTTAACTCCTGAGAGTTCAGGTTATAGCTGCAGCTGCTGTATCCTTTGACTCTTTGGTACAGTATAATCTGACGGTAGGATCCACTGTGTTTCTAGCATGTGTGCAGTGACTGTCACTGGGGCATCTTTGCCCAGTCTTTCCTGTGTGTGCCCTCCTGCGCCCAGTCCCTGAAAGGGGGGGGGGGAGAATGACAGTAAGGGCAGAGGGGGCTCTGTGCTCCCGGGTCCCCGTTCAGTATTGTTAGTGTGCGTATAAGTGATTTGTGGCACTTTGTTTTTCTACTGTATCCTTGGAATAAATATTTATTTTTCAACTATTGTAACCACCTGGAGTTTTTATGTAGTACGGGATACTTTCAGAAGCCTGAACTGCTGAGCCCCTGTAGAGAAAGGTGGATGGGCTGGCATCTGTCTTGTGCCACTGATCTAACCTGTATGAGGTTTAAATTCACAGAACAGAGGCCTGGTTAAGAAAAGGCCCAGCAGTTTGGGTTCTTTCAACACAGATTAAGTTACCTAAGTTGATTGTATTATTGGAAGTTCAGACATCCAGCCATGTAGTCAAATAGCAACTGAGTATGAGGAAAAACCTTTCCAAGAGAGTATCATTGAAGGGATCAGACACTAGGCAAAGGGTAACACTAGGGAACGTTAGCAAGTGAGCCCAGGCAGAAGTTTATTGATGGAAACATCAGTATGAGACGGGCTCAGTAGTGGAACAGTGTTGCACCAGCTGCATCTGAGGCCCCGGCCCATAATCGGCCTCCCAGATCAGCCACAAAAAACTTGTTATTACTCGCTTTGATGAGAACACAAGTGGAAGACGCAAACTGGATGGTAAAATTACTTGGGTGGTCACCGGTTACCATAACTTGCCCATCTTTATCCAGAGCCCAGTAGTTGCTGCCTACAGGTGAAACATCAGCGTTAGAAAGAAATGTGAGAGGTACTATATATAGAGGTATACGTTTTCCAAACAGTCACTTGCTTAACCGTTATCATTAGGATATGCTACAAATGGCATATTAATTATTTATTAATGGTGCAGTCCTTACCTATATACAAGGCGCTGAAAAGGAAGCAGAAGGAGTAGAGTGATCCGAGGGACCCACTACACGTTAAGAGAACCCCTTTTAGGTGGTACTATTTTATTGACTCCTCTGTCTGTAGTAATTTAGTCAACCAATAAGAAACAACACTTGTATTCCGTGTGTCATTTTCCATCAATGGAGGAAGGAATAGCTTTGCCATACCAGGTGCAAATTTGCCATTATTGGGGGAACACCCACATGCTAAATGCTGCTTCTGCAGAGGCACAGAAAAAAAGCCTATAGCAGCTTCCAAATTAAAAGGCAGATGCAAAGGTGGCTGCTGAAACCCCCTCTTCTAGAGGAACATTAATAGAAACAGCTGTAGATAGTTGCTGCATCCCTACGAGAATGGATAGTTACTCCCACTGGAACAAAGAAGGGCCAAGTTTCCTATGTGAGGAAGCGGGACACTTTACTCCACCGCTCCATGTTGGCTTTTGAAACTTTCTCCCTTATCTTGAAAGACAGAGACAAAGAGGGCATCGGAGGCATAGAAGGCTCCAGTGACCAGTCTGATGTAAAACTTTCAGGATCTACACATGTCCAATTAGTGCCGCTGCTTCTTAGGGTGGGGTCAGTCACAGGCAAAATGACAGAAGGACAAGCTGTCAATTTCTGTAGGAGGAGGAATTTGCTGACAGGATTTGTAAAGGGTCAAGGCTTACAGGACCCCTGCATCGCTCCTTTCTGGCAAAAAAAAGAAAGTTCAGTTCCAAAACTTACACATTCTCTTGCTTTCAGAAGAGTTTTGAGGGAGATATGTTTGGAACTGAACTGGTTCAAAGGTCCTTGTTTTACATAAATGGTATTTTGCAATGGTCTCCTGTGGAGAAGCAGTGAATACTGGGGTGGATTGATGAGGGAAGCTCTCTTAAAGGAACACTTGATGTGAGCACAGAAAGACAATAGCGGGTTACCACCACCATCCCCAGCCACACAACTGCTTGCCTTAAATACATCTCTTCCATTCTTCCAACTCCCCTAGTTGTCAGGACTCTAAACAAGAACAACATGGATGTCCACTTCATAGCCACTCACTGGCCAAGACCTTTGTTTTCAGATTTAGTTGCCAAGACGCTTCTCCCACCCTGGAAAGTTCTTCCAGCCCATGTCATAACACTTGAGGTCTCATCTACATTCCAGTCCTGACTGGCCTCACCACTCTTATCTGGGGACTGAAAGAAAAGCACTATAGGATTTTTGTTATTCCCAAGTGGCCATAAACATTTTGCTGGACTCTGGAAGGCTGTCAACCAATACAAGGCTACATAGACAGTATTCAGCCAATTATGTCACTGGAAATTAATTTATTCTCCTTCAGAATGTATCCTCACTTTTTGCTCCCTCTATAATAAATCTGGAGAGAACCTTGAGGAATTTGTAATTTGTGGGAGAGAGAAAGGTTTTGAAATGGGTGGCTAAACCTCCTAGTAATTGTTTGGAAGACTCTTGGATTGAAAGCCCACTTGCTAGGGTTTAGACCTGAAGCTTAGCCAACCTGGCCTGGTGTTGTATACCCATTTGGAGGTGTTAACCTGTGATCAGTGCCATGTGGTACTCTTCCCAGTGTAAGAAGACAGATGCTACTCATTGGAAAGATTAGGACCTTATTCCTCCCTGATGCTTTACTTGTGAATTTGCTGTTATGTACTAGTTATGTAAAGTTATGCTCGAAAGCCAGTCGAATCCGACTCTAGGGTTGCGGTGCTCATCTCTATTTCAAAGCCGAAGAGCCAGCGCTGTCCGAAGACATTTCCGTGGTCATGTGGCCGGCGTGACTAAACACCAAGGCGCATGGAACACTGTTACTTTCTCACTGAAGTGGTACCTATTTATCGCAGTTTCTTGCTTTCGAACTGCTATGTACTTCCCATCTAATTGGTGTTGAAACACAAAGAAGCATGCTTGATGGATAGCTAGCTTAAGCACTCCAATTAGTTTGTACTGTGATGAACTTCAGTGGGAGTCCTCTTGGCCTGAGCTACCATACTGAAGCAACAGATGCCCTAACCCATCAAAGTTGGCATTTATTGTGGCTTGTATCCTGAGTGGATCTCTGAAGGGATTGCTGCTTCTTTGGCTGAGATCAGGATATTTTTAGTGAAAGGAGTGATGTACATACTTCTGTTGAGCACTGTGACAAAGAAGACATGCCTAGGGACAACCTTGAGGTTCTGGACCATGGCCAAGAACATTCGGTGCATAAGGGAAAGGGCTTGTGGATTAAAAGAAAATAAATCCTGGCCTTGCTTATTGCTGCTGGCCCCCCCTTAAATTATTGCCTGTGACAGAGACCCCGAGAGATGTCTAAGTGTTCTTGTTGCTGGGATGGAGATGGAAGATGTCCAGGTAAGATATACAGGGATACCTAAAAGGCAAACATGGGCCACTCTTGATGAAGATTCATGGGATTCAGAAAAGACCAGCAAAAAGAATCCGTTATTGGAAGTGCTGGGAACCAAAAAAGAATCTGAGGCACCTCCTGCAGAAGGGGTGTAATGAGAACAGTGGTAGGTTTCCATCACATCAACTGATGAGTTCCCCTTAAAGGAGAACCTCTACTATAGTCCCCAAGGCTTCCATGTGAAATTTCCTTCTTCTCACAAGCTTGAGTTCTTAGCAGTGTTCCTTCTAATTTTTTCCCCTACTGAGCGGAGCAGTTCACATCCTGAGCAGACGATAACTGCTGTAATCTTACAAAAGGCCATGGGCAGTGCCAGACCCTGCGCGGCTCCAGGTGGCTGATGAGCGGGGAGCTTTTTGTGTTAATGCAGAGGTCATTTCGGGGGGATCACAGTTCCCCTGGGTGAGGTACGGGGGCGGGGCACATGACGAAGCCCCGCCCCCTGCTTCCGGCCGCCCCACTTCCGGCCCTCATTCAGCCAGGAGGAGGCAGGAGAAGAGGGAGGGTAAGTTTCTTCCTCCCTGCCTCTCCCCACCCCTGCCTGCCTGGGGCCAAGGAGGGCCTTGGCGGGGCTTCCTCGCACTCCCGCTGGCCTTGCAGGTCCACCGCCGGGCCCCTCATGGGGCTCAGCAGTGGAGCTGCAAGGCCGGTGGTGGCCGGGACCGTCGGGGGCGGGGTGTGTGGCCTTATGACACACTTCCGGTGATGTCAGGGTGTGTGGCATATGCTAATGAGTTATGCTAATGAGTTCCCCTAGCTCTTTTTCTACGAAACGACCCGTGTTAATGAGTGGCCATTCATGCTCACAGCTTAGAGTGAACGCTGGTTCTCAGATCACCCTCAATAAAGTAGGAATCTGAGAAGCGTTTGCCTTTTGAGTCTCCAGCTCTATTGCTCAAATGTCCAGAAGGTGGTTGATGGCTTGGAGAATCCTGATGTGTTTCTCTGCATTTCTGGACTTCATTCTGTTGGGCGTCTTCAAAACAGAATTGGCAGCAATAGCCCTGAAGGACAATGCTGAGGCCTCAGGTGCTCTGTGCAGATGCAGAAGGTGAAAAGAGGCAGCTGCTGGTGAAGAGATCTGAAGGACGTGAGCAGACAGAACATGGGGACTGGGGAACCACCCCCGGGTGGAATCAGAAGACTGCAAGAAATCTGCAGAGAGCAGGTGGGAGGTGTTGGCTCTCACAAGGATACTCTGCTCCACTGATGGAGAAGAGCCTACTGGTTGATGCCCTTCTCCTGTTTCAGGCATTTTGGCCTAGAGGATCATCAGCCCTCTCCTGATCAGTATCTCAATCTGAAAATTAGCTACATGTGAAAGGAAAAATGTTGGTGAGTAGGTACTTGGTTCCCATCTACAGCAATAATCTGACTATTCTAACTATCCTCTGCCAGTGGCTGCCACACAGTTTGTAAGGATAACCTCTCTCTTCCCGCAGGAAACCCCCCCTCCCCGCCTTTGTAAGAGGACTAGGGTCAGTCTAGAATCTCTCTCTCTCTCCCCCCCCCCCTCAGTATACCTACCAATTTGGAAGTTGTAGTAGCCTTCCTCTGTGAGTGACAGGCTGCTGGCAACATAACTGACGCAGTTTGCTTCAAGGCGCTTCATGCCAGAACACAGGCCCACGTACCCAGCATCGGTGTGTAACACCAGTAGTGGCCGGTTTACCAGCACCATCAGGAATTCTTCACTCTTACCTGTAGGTGCAAGAGAAACCCCTGACAACGTTCATGTGCTGCAAAGGGTAAAGTAGATCTGGAGGGCTTGAAAATGGCTCAAGCTCCCTCCCTTTTGCTTGCAAGACAGAAACATTTCTCTAAGGGAAAAAGCCAGTTTTAATGCTGGATGTTGGAATATGGGAAAGGAATGTGGCAAGCCATATTACTCCAGCATTTATCATAGCCTCCTCTAGATACCTATGCAGTTCAAAGGTACTAGTTTTGATCAACTGCATTTAATATCCCAAGCAACAAGTAGTAGCAGAAACTAGAAACTGCCTGATAGCTACCCTAGAACTGGGAAATTCCTCTGACTAATTCTCCAAACATATAGGAGCAATTTTAACCCCATGTTGTCGGCTGGCTGCCAGTGGCCAGGGTTATGTCTAAGAAAGGACAGAGTATTTGTAAGCCTCCTTTGTTCTAGCAGAGCTCAATGAAACATCGATGTGTTATTGTTAGTTCCTATAAAGTTTAAGGTGGGTGTATGTTCATGAAATTTAAATAATTTATCTCATCCTACAATGGCAGGATTCTGTAGCTGTCCAGTTACTGGTTGCAAACAAAAAGCCCCAACTCATAGATCTGTGACATAGCACACAGTCTGAAAGCTGATGAGTACTTAAATTTCATTAAGAAGCAATAGCAATTCCTGCCCGATTTCCTTTCTCATAGCCTTCAGAACTGCGGTACCTGGGAACCCAGACATTCCGAAAGAACACTCGGGGCAAAGTGGGAAGTGGGAATCAGGTAGAAATCACCACCCTCTCAAAAAAACGTAAGTGCCCTTGTCTTTGGAATGTGCTGTTGGCCATTTCCCCATATTACTAGATTTTAAAAAAATTATCCCGGTATAATCCTTCACCATTTAGAGCATTTAATTATTACAACCTAGGAAGTGCACTTCACTTTCTTCCTTTAATTTTCAGGCCAACAAACAGGAGGGAAAAGGCCTTGTAAGCCAATTCCATGTCCTCCAAACGATCCAAAACCACCTTCCTGTGGGGCAGTGGGGCATTTCTCCTCAAGCCCTCTACTCCAAAAGAGGAGGGGGACTAAGGGTACAAAATTCCAGGAGCCCTGGTCACCATGGGACCTATGCAGGCGGGTAGGCCGTGTGATTTGTTTTCCTGTAGCATTTTGATTGGGACTGGGTAGTGTAAGGCGTCTGGGTGCTCATGATAGCTGAGCTATTGCTACCTCTTCGTGCTCACTTGCCCATGCATGCCCTGTGCCTATAAGACAAGGTCTCTCCCACCTTGTACCTGCAGCTTTGGGGATTGCCAGAAGCTGTCCATTGGGCCTCATGGACACATATTTGTCACCTATACGCAGCACCACCTTCTGATCCTGATACTGGAGTTCAAACCAGACATTCCTATCTTTTTGTTTGCTGCTGATAATACAGTCATTGGGACCCTGCAAAGAGGAAAACAGTGGGTGTGAAGGCCTCACTTTGTTCTTGCATCTCACCAAACAGTGTACAGTATATTAATACCACCAGGTCCCATTTTTTTTGGATTAGCGATCATTTCTAGTCAAACAGCTTTTCCAGTGTTACAAAAACTTGCAAAACCATGGAATAAAAAAAGTTCTCCAAACAGCAATTAGCAGTTCACTATTCTGGACAGGCCATATAGGAAGGAATGCTTGACTTGTTTATTGCCGCACAAGTCACCCATTTTATATATACAAGTGGGGGACCTGCGATACTCGCGGGAGAGGAGGACCTCCGCACCTATGAGGAAGAGGAGGAAGCAGGAGGAGGAGGTAAGTTCCCCCCTATCCCGCCGGTTCCCCGTCTCCTCCACCCCTCCTCCACCCCCTGGCTTGATCTTCCCCTCCCCCTGCCCTGGAGCACCCCCCCTCCGGAGGCCAGGTCTACCCACCCCTTCCCATTGCATGGGTAGACCTGGCATCCAGAGGAGTCCAGGTCTACCCACCCCTTCCAATTGCAGGGGTAGACCTGGCCTCCGGAGGAGTCCAGGTCTACCAACCCCTTCCCATTGCAGGGGTAGACCTGGCCTCCGGAGGAGTCCAGGTCTACTCACCCCTTCCCATTGCAGGGGTAGACCTGGCCTCCGGAGGAGTCCAGGTCTACTCACCCCTTCCCATTGCATGGGTAGACCTGGCCTCCGGAGGAGTCCAGGTCTACCAACCCCTTTCCATTGCAGGGGTCTACTCATCCCTTCCCCTTCCCACCTT